AAGGCTGGAGAAGCTGGTGTGGCCGAAGGGGCCTGGCGTGGGTGGGATGCTCCAGTTCCCTGCCTGGGCTCTGTCCCTGGCCTGCCTGCCCGTGGCTGGGCTGCCACACCCTTTCCACGAGCCTCTGGCATTAGGGTCCAACGACTGTCCCCAGACCCACCCTCAGGGCTTAGCTCCGGAGATGACAGGGGGAGTGGGGATGCAGAGCCCTGGACTTCACCCCTGTAGACTAGAACTTGACCCTCAAACGCCTTCCCTGACCCCCACAGGCCACTAGGAGGGGCACTCCTGGGAGTGGGTGGGGCAGGAAGACTCTCACAGGTCCCAGGCCTCCTCCGTGAAAAGGATCCCAGGTCCACCTGTGTAGTCTGGACACATGGGGCACATGGGAGTCAGTTGCCCATTGCCCCTCATGGCCCCTAGGTGTAAGGTCTATGGTCCTGGGGTCCTGTGACACGCTGGGATGTTGGCACATGCCCAGGAGGATGAGCCGACACCTTCCTGGACCCTGAAGTTTCAGAGCAGGACAAGTGACTGTGCACCTGGCGCACTTCTCCCACCCAGTTTATACCCCACCCCTTCTTCCCTCTGGGACCCAGGCTTGGGGTGTGGCTAGGGACCCCATGCCTTGTGAGGCTACCTGTCTGCCCAGGATATCCTTGTCCCCCTAGCTGGAAGCTGAGGGAGTGTGGGGGCCAGAGAGGCAGAGCCTCAGGCCGGTTTATAAACACACACAGTGTTTCTCCCATTAGAGCCTTGCTGTTAACTAGATGCTGAGGGTCAACACCTCCGTCTTCAGGGACCATCTGTTCTAAGCTCAAGATTACAGTTGAGGAAACCGAGGCCCTAAGACGTGCAAGGATGTGGCTGAGGTCTCCCGGGGGTGTGGAGGGACTCCTGCCCCATCAGGCCCTGCTGCCCCTCCTACACCACGGCTCCAGCAGGGCGGGGGCGCCTGCAGTCTGAGCGGTAGGCTTCCGCTTACCGACGGCAGAGCTGAGGCTCCGAGCGGCCCCCAGCAGCGGGGCAGCACATGAGCCAGGCTGGGACCGGTGTGCTCGGGCCCGCGGTGTGGGCTCATGTCCTCAGCTTCTCCACCTGTAACAGGTGGGTGCGACGCCGTGGCCCTGCTCCCTGTCCGGGCTCCAGGGGCGCCTGATGTTTGAAGAGCTCTTAACCACAGCTTCAAGGAGAGGCCTGGCAGAGGGGGCTGGGAGCCGGGTAGGCAAGGTGAGGGTCCGGAGGCAGGGGCCTCCAACACCTCCTCCTCCATGAGGCCTTCCTGTATACCCCACTTGGCTTGTGTGGTGGGGGGCTTTGAGTTGCCACCCGCCCCACCTGGGCCACCAGGCTGCAGACTCCCTGGGACCTGCAGAGAAGATGAGAACAGGGCAGACAGGGAGACAAACGGCAGTCCCTGAGGGCTCTTCGAGGGCCAGGGCTGCTGGTGGGGCAGGGATCCAGTCTGGGGACATGCTGGGCCGTGTGGTCTGTCTTGGGGTTGGGGGGAGGAAAGGGGGGGAAATTGGAGTTCATCAGGCCGGCCCTGGAGAGACGAGGGGGTACCTGAAAGGGGGCATCGGGCTGGTGCTGGGCAGACTGGTGGGTGGTGGGCCTGTTAGACTGAGCTGCCCTGAAGTGAGGGTGTGGGGAACCCTGAGAGCAGAGTGGGGAGGGGCCTGGAGGGCTCCAAGAGGCAGGTGGCCATGTGGAAACGGGGGGCGGCCCAGGGAAATGGTAGAGGCCAAGGCCTGGGCAGGAGTGCATGGGTGGAGCCTTGTCCGAGGCCTGTCCTGCCCCGATGCTGCAGTCCATTCCCCCGACGTCCATCTTCCCCTCTCCCCTCTTGCACCTAGGTGCCCCATCCTCTCTGCTGGTGTGCCGCCCAACTCTGGCCCATGACAGGGAGTTGGGGGTAGACCTGCCTTGACCCTGGGGTCTGGCAGGCCAGGGTGAGGAATTTGAGACCCTTTTTCAGGTGGCATTGGGTTTAGGAGGTTTTGGGTATACGTGGCACTGGGTCTAGGTGGTGTTGGGTGTAGGAGAGGTTGGGTGTAGGAGGAGTTGGGTGTAAGTGGCATTGGGTGTAGGAGAGGTTGGGTGTAGGAAGGGTTGTATGCAGGTGGCGTTGGGTGTAGGAGGGGTTGGGTGCACGTGGGGTTGAGTGTAGGAGGAGTTGGGTGTAGGTGGGGTTGGGTGTAGGTGGCGTTGGGTGTAGGAGGGGTTGGGTGTAGGTGGGGTTGGGTGTAGGAGGGGTTGGGTGTAGGTGGGGTTGGGTGTAGGAGGAGTTGGGTGCAGGTGGGGTTGGGTGTAGGAGGGGTTGGGTGCAGGTGGGGTTGGGTGTAGGAGGGG